GAGCACTCGGGCCCATCAGTAAGAAAGATAAGATAAGATAATAAGATTATGATAAGACATCATAATTAAGCATAATCAGCTCATGCATATTTATTCATGTGTACTTACAGTTATTTTGTGAGATATAGTTCCTACTTGCTGAGCGAAAGCTCAATCAGATATGTTCATGCTGTAGGTAAGAAACCTATCAGCAATTCTTGAAGGGCAATGGCAAGCGGCGGACGAATGGTGGAGATGGGAATGGATACCGCTCACGCAGTTATCTTCCGCAGTAAGTTTAAGAAAAATCATGTATATGTATATATGATTTAAAGGTTTCAAGCATGTATGTTTAAAAAGTATAGGTACATATGTATGTTAAAGAAACCGAGGTTGTAGCTAACAACCCTCGTTTTGAGTATTTAAGTTTTAGAACGTTGCAACAGAGCAAGCAACAAATAAATAAATTTTAAACATGACGATTTAAATGATTGATTTTAAAAGGGCTTTAAGATGTACTTGAATTTAAGATTTCTCACGAAATCCGTTTCAAAGTCAAAATTAAATGGCCTGATTGAATTGGCTAGTTTTAGAAAGGCTTTTAAAGAGTATTTGAAATAGGAGTTCAAATGCTGCTCTGTTTGAAAGATATTTTTAGAACGTTTTATCTTAACTGAAATTAAGAAAAGCTTTAAGAAATTTAGTGATTCACTTATTTGAAATTATTGTTACAAATTATGAAAGTATTCTTTCTTATATTAAAAAAAAAAAATGTTCCGCAAATTTTAAGAAACCCCAGTAAGTACAAGTTAAAGTTTAAGTTACAGTGGCGGGCTCATAGGAGGGGCGTCACATATATATAGTTAGATATCATCATTGTTTAAAAAGAATAAGGCATACCTTCAAGAAAAAAAAAAGAATAAGGTATATTTTCATACTTCTATTAAAAATCTAAAAAGTATCCTCTTAATTTTGTCTAAATACAACTTTTATCTCTAAATTTTTTAAAATTTAAAAGTATCTTCTGTGTTTTTCAACTCATACAAAAGTATCCTTTGTTTTAATTTTTTAGGTTTAATTTTTTTAAAATGGCCAAATTGTTCTTACATATTCCATATATATATGATTTTTGCTGGGTTATACCAATTTCTAAACAACCCTCTTAGATTTTCTTCTTTTTTTTTTGAAGTAAACCTCTTAGAAAATTTACAGCACCAATTTGAACAAGTTTTTTTTTTTTTTTTGGCTTTTTTCATTTTAATAAGAAAGTGAAATCTTTTTTGAAAAAAGATGTAATTCTATTTTTAAAATTCTATTTGGCAAACATGACGAATTGTTTTGCCAATTTGAGGTGAAAGTGTATTTTGTAGTGTGTAATAAACTAACTTGCTAAATTGCCCTGTACTACTATATAACAAAAAATTTACATCTTTTTTTTATATAAAAAAAGATTTCACTTTAATAAGAAAAAAAAAAAGAACCCTATTCAAATTGGTGTTGTAAATTGCCTAAGAGAGCCATTTAAAAAAAACAAAAACAAAAAACAAAGAAAGAAAGAAAGAAAGAAAGAAAGAAAAGGAATCTAAGAGGAGTGTTTAGAATGTAGCATAGCCCAACAAAAATTTGACTAGTATATGAGATATACAAGAACAATTTGGCCATTTTAAAAAAACTAAACCAGAAAAGTTAAAAAAAGTGATACTTTTTGTCTATTTTCAAAAGCATAGGAAATACTTTTTAGATTTTAAAAAATTCAAGGGTAAAAGCTGTATTTAGACAAAACTGAGAGGATACTTTTAAATTTTCTCTCCATTAAACATAAGTTCAAATAAAATTTTTAAATTATTTCCTGAGCCTTATGTCAGCTTTGATTTTTCTTCAATTTTGATAATTTATTTTACAAACTTATTTTTTGACAATTTTAGCTCATGACGCTAAAGTTAGAGAATGACCTCTAAAAATTTATCAAAGATACGCAATCACATTCCAATTGCATAATACTTGAAATATTTACGAAATAACTAATTTTTTAAGTGCAAAATGTTCTTGTTCTTTAGGGTTTTTTACTAACTGTAATGAGTTGCGAGTTTAGCTATTATTTTTTTCAACTCTATTATTAATGTCACTATACAAAATTTTGATGTCAATATAAAAAATAACATGCAAGATACGAAGTGATAATCTGCCGATTACGAAAAATAACCTATAGATTATAAAAAGATAACTTATAAGTTATTATAGATATAAGATAAATTTAACAATAGCGACAGAAATAAAATAGTGTTACTTTATTGATGACCGTTTTAAAAATTCCACATGTTTGAAATCCTTTGTCGATTTCACTATATAGAACCAAAATGGTCATATGAATAAAAATTCAAAGACTAATTTGTCGAGATCAAAAGTACATAAATTAAAGTGACACAATACTCTCATAATTCGGAGACTGATAGTATTAATAACCTAAAACAAAAATAATGACACTAGGATGGCAATTATGTGTAACACTAGGTTTTTTTTTTTTTTGGCTAATTAAAAAAGCTGAACCACTGGTTATTCTTATTTTATTTTACTTGAACGATGTAATACTTAATTTGCTCACAAACGAAATATCTTATATTGTAACTCAAATGCCTTTCCAGCAAAATAATAATAATAATAATAAACAAAATAAAATAAGAGAAAATTAGGCAAATGGCATTTTTAATAAATGGTGGAACTTTTTTTATTTTAAGAAAATTGTCGTTTTTCTATAATAGTCAATTAATAATTGATCAATTCATTATTAATTTACTGATTATTTATCACTAATAAACTTGCAATTTGTTGATTAAAATTAATTAACTACTAACTAATTTTTATTAATTACTTAGTGATATTGATTAATAATAAAAAAAATTATCAAGTTAATCGGTCATAGATCGCTAAGTTAATTAATGATAGACTTCTAAATTAATCAGTAATAGACGAATTAAATCAGTTATTTACCACTAAATTAATAAAAATAAAATAAAATAAAATAAAAAACACACACTCATTTTCCTAATTTTAGGAAACTTTAGCCATTTATTATAAAACCCCTAAAAAAGGCCATTTTGCCTCTATGTCCCATAAAACAGAAAACAAAACAAAAACAAATAGCTCTCGCCAGCATCATTTTCAAGCCGCCCCTTCCCCACCCTTCCTCTACTAATCTGACTATCATCAAAGTCTCTCAAATTCAAGTCGTAAATAGCTCTTGTTGTTCCATTACATTCCGATTTCCATGACCACCCTTCTGATGGGAATATTAACTCCAATGGACAAAAATTATAAAAAAAAAAAAAAGCACGCCACAAAATTCTTTATTCACTCTTGTCTGGTCAACTAAGCCATGTTGAACAACAACACTCTTGTCTTCCATTTTCTTCTTCTCCACGGCACACCTTTCCCAATCTTAACCACAATAATCTATCTAACATTTTTCACCACCAATATCAGAGATCAAACATGTAATTGATGGTGACTTTCACCAACCATGAGATGTTAAAACAATGTAGGACTTTTTGGATTAGGTTTGCGGTATATGAGTGAGTTAAAAGAAAGAAAAACAAGAAGAAAAATCGTCATTTGACGGAGAACCAGATAATTTATCAGTAATGAGGCTTAGTAAAGAAATGACCAGGTGATAGAAGTGGCGTTGAAAGGATCCAAGGATGCGATCGAGAACCATAGTGCTTGGCCCTTTAGCCAACTCGCATTTTCCTCCTCACTTCCCGGCACCCTCTCTTACCCATAACAAAACAACTCTACAAATAACTAAAAACAAAATAACTGATTTACTAAGTAATAGGTTTGAGTCAATAACGTTAATACCATTAATAAACAAGACGTGTTCAGCTTGACTAGCCTAACACAAATTAGATACAAAATAATATGAATTCTAAACTTCGTAGGTAACTTGTTTTACTTGAAGTAAAAGATAAATTAACCAATGAATCTGTCAAACTTCTTATAATCATGTTAAAATAGTTGTATTAATTATTTAAGTAATATATAAATTTAAACGGGTTATGCTGGCTGATATTTTTAATAAGTGTATGTTTAGATTGACATCTTTAACGGGTATAATAAAGAGATCATGTTTAGGTTGATATGTACTAATATTATTAATAAAGGGTTGACAGGAACACAATTATTAAAATGTTGGGAGTTTTTTTGGTATGATTAGAAAAAATAAACTACCGTTAGTTACATACTTTCTAATTATTAAATCTGTATAAAAAACAGTCTATTCTATATATTTTTTTAATCTAATATGTTCTTAATTAGATTTAACGGTTAAAAATTGACCATACCGATAGAAAGGCGAAAGTCCTAAAATGAATTACCACTACAATTTCCATCTCTGTTTTTTGCTTTTTTAGAATTAAAAGGTCACCAACATTTTTTAGCCGCCACCCAAAAAAATAAAAAAAATAAAAGCATCTCATTTTCATCATGGTCCCTCAAATCAAATTCAAAGCGGCAAATACTTTATGTTGTCCCATTACATTATTACATGACCTTCTTCATTAGAATTATTAAATTCCAATGGACACAAAAATCCTCCCAACTTACAGTAACTTATTACAAACAAGCACCCCACAACATTGTTAATTCTTGTCTGGTCAACCAAGCCATGTTGACCAACAAGGCTCTCCCTTCACTTCCATTTTCTTCTTCTCCACGGCAGTTCTTCCCCAATCTCAAACCACAATAATCTATCTATAGTTTACCCCACCAAGCTAAGAGATCAAACAACTACACAAATAATTTTTTTTTTAAATGGCCACGATTTCTTTTACCTTTTTTACAGCCATTTTGCTGTTTTCCTTGTGCAACGAATCATTTGCACTTAACAGTATTCGACCGTCGGAGTCCATTAATAGCAGTGATGGCACAACTTTGGTCTCCAATGGAGAAAGCTTTGAACTGGGTTTTTTCACTCCAGGCAATTCCACTAATCGTTATGTCGGAATTTGGTACAAAAACATCCCGGTTCAAACCGTCGTTTGGGTTGCAAACAGATGTAGTCCAATCAATGATTCCTCTGGCTTGTTGATGATAAACGACACAGGAAATCTTGTGCTTTTGAATCATAACAAGAGTGTCGTTTGGTCTACAAATTCGTCGAAAGAAGCCAAGAAACCGATAGTAGAGCTCCTAGATTCTGGGAATCTTGTACTGAGAGATGAGGAAGATGGAAACTCGGAGAACTATTTGTGGCAAAGCTTTGACTATCCTTGTGACAACAACATGCCCGAGATGAAAATAGGGCAGGACTTGAGGACGGGTTTCGAAAGGCGGTTATCGGCGTGGAAGAGTTGGGATAATCCTTGTCCTGGAGACTTCACTTATGGGATTGAGCTTAATGCAAAGATTCATTCATTCCCCGAGCCAATGATCCGAAGAGGAAAGGTGAAGTTTTATCGAACGGGGCCTTGGATTGGCCTTCGCTTTAGTGGCTCGCCGGATTTAAGGCCTAATCCTGTTTTTGACTATGAATTTGTTTCCAATGACGAGGAGGTCTACTACACGTACCATCTGAAGAATAAGTCGGTGATCTCGAGGATAGTTATGAACCAAACGACTCTTTCCCGCCAACGCTTGACTTGGATGGAGGCCGAGCAGAGTTGGAAGACTTACAATTCAGTCCCGAGAGACTACTGCGACAACTACGGTCTCTGCGGGGCTAATGGGAAATGCATCATAAACGAGAATCCGGTTTGCCAATGTCTAGATGGATTTACACCCAAGTATCAAGAAAAATGGAGTTTGATGGACTGGTCTGGAGGATGTGTTAGAAATGTTCCCTTGAGTTGTGAGGATAAAGCGAGTGACGGGTTTGTGAAATACTCGAGCTTGAAATTGCCTGATGCTGAGCATTCTTGGGTGAATGCAAGTATGAATCTAAAGGAATGCAGGGCCATATGCTTGAGCAACTGTACTTGTATGGCTTATAGCAATTCGGATATCAGAGGAGACGGCAGTGGCTGCGCTATGTGGTTCAGCGATCTATTAGATATTAGACAATTTTCTTCCAGTGGACAAGATCTTTATATTCGAATGCCGGCTTCAGAACTAGGTACACACCTCTTCTTTTTTTTTTTTTCTTTTTTTTCTTTTTCTGTAATGATTTGATACTTGCTTCTGCAGAATGTGAAATGTTTCTCATTGGCCTTAATCTGATTTTACCTCTTGTTTTTGTGTTGAAATAACCAAGAAAAAGCGAAAAGTAATCGTACAGTGAAGCGAGCAGTGATAGCTGTAGCTGTGGTCATTGGAGTAGTTTGTGGGATGGTCTTGGTAGGCTGTTACATTTGCAGAAGGAGGAAAATAACTGGTATGTTTTACTTTTATTATAATCTTCTTAAAAGCCTTTTTTTGCTATTAAATTCATTGACTCTTCTCATTTTCTAATGTGATTCTTGTATCAAATATTAATGCTACATTATGGGAAAGTATGTAGCTACGCCTATGAGGTTAATGAATGTAGTCAAGTAAAATAATGTCACTGGATTAGAAAGAAGCTAACTAGTTGGTTTAGCCCCAAATAAATGTAATTGAGATTGTGAAGGTTTCTTAAACACTCTGTTTTCAGAAACTTAACAAGTGGAGAGAAGTTTATGTTGCGTCCTTATTTTAAGTAATTTCAACTAGAAACCAAGAACATAATCCAGTATTAGCAGTGCTAGGGAACACCAACTCTAAATCTCAATTTTCCGTACCAACTTATGTGACACTGAGCTATCATCTTTTTACTAATAGATGTAGTCTCTTACTTTTAATTGACGTGCCAATCTTTTGAACACTGATAAAATAATAAAAACTCGCATGGCATATAAGCTTATAAAAAAATTGGTAATGGAGTTAGTGTCCCTAACATTGTTCAAGCATTCGTCCACTATTAATTGTGCATCTCTAGGGAGAGAATCTTTATTTAGCATACTAGATATCTTAATTGCTTTTTCTTGCAATTTTTCCTACTTAATTTGCAAAGTAACCTAAAAGTCTATGTACAAATTGTTCATCTGATGACAATTTTTTCTCTACTATATTAGAAGAAACAGAGAGAAATCTAATGGCAAGTAGAAATGAAGGCCAAGAAGATGACCTGGAGCTCCCATTGTTTAGCTTACCTACAATTATTAATGCCACTAATTGTTTTTCATTCAATAATAAGCTTGGGGAAGGTGGTTTTGGACCTGTATACAAAGTAAGCTTCTCATATATACGTCAGTTTAAGAACATTATTGCTTTTACTTCTTTTGAAATAAGCAAAGACTTCATGTGGGAATTTAGGGTATGCTTGAAGGCAGGCAAGAAATCGCTGTTAAGAGGCTATCAATGTGTTCTGGACAAGGCGTCAACGAGTTCATGAATGAAGTAAAACTAATTGCCAAACTTCAACATCGGAATCTTGTAAAGCTTTTTGGCTGCTGCATTCAGGGAGAAGAGAAATTGCTGGTTTATGAATATATGCCCAACAGAAGTCTTGACTTTTTCATTTTTGGTCAGAATAAATCTGAACCTAGAACTTGAAAGACTTTTTTATTGCTATTATATTCCTGGATTGTGTTGATTAAATGTTGATGTTACATTTGCAGATGTAAAACAAGGCAAGATATTAGAATGGTCCACGCGCTTCCAAATAATATGTGGAATTGCTCGAGGACTTCTCTATCTCCACCATGATTCCAGATTGAGAATTATACATAGAGATCTTAAAGCTAGTAATGTTTTACTGGATAAAGAAATGAACCCCAAAATTTCAGACTTTGGCTTGGCTAGAATGTTCGGAGGAGATCAAATAGAAGGAAACACAAGCAGAGTCGTAGGAACTTAGTGAGTAACTCTTGCCACACCGTTTGATTTTCTTAGAATTCAATTATGCACATTACAAATACATTTGGCTCATTGTTCACTGTAAATGATGTTATGGCAGCGGCTATATGGCGCCCGAGTACGCTTTTGACGGCCTATTCTCGATAAAATCCGACGTCTTTAGCTTTGGCATATTGGTGTTGGAGATCATAAGCGGAAAGAGAAGCAGAGGATTTCACTATGAGAACCATGGCGTTACCCTCATCGGACATGTAAATTACCAAAAACCTTCATTGTTTTGCTTAATTGTGTTTCATATTGTCATGTTGATTCTTTCTATTTTTAGGCATGGACATTCCTAAAGGAAGGTCGAGCACTCGAACTTATCGATGCACGTCTGGTGGAGTCGGATGAAAATCTACCGGAAGTGTTGCGTTGCATCCATGTCGGTCTCTTATGTGTTCAACAACGTCCGGTCGATAGACCGAACATGTCAACGGTTGTTCTGATGTTGGGTGGTGAGAGTTCTTTGCCTCAGCCCAAACCACCAGGCTATTTCATGGAGACAGATTGCAAGTTAGAAGGAGATCATTCGTCCAGTAAGCCACAGTCCTCTTCTACATGCGATATATCCATATCAGTTCTAGAGCCTCGATAGGATTTGGTTTATTTGTAGTGTCAAAAAAAGAAACATGTTAATTTGTTGTGTAAACAGGTACATTTTTAGTGTTAGCCTATTTGTTTTGTTTCATATCTGATGGTACTATTTCCTACTGGATGAACTTAAAAAAAAATGAAAAAAAGAAAACAACAACAACTACGATTAGTTTATAACTATAAACGTGTGATCGGGTCAAAGTCTCATAAAAAAATATTTGAAATTTAGGAGTTCTTCTGATAAAGCCTCAAAAACTGATACAAATAGTGTTAAAGAGTATTTTTTCATACCTCCCGTAGAATTCTCAAAAAGGTTAATGGTATCCATGAGTAGATTCCTAAGTGTGGGTCCATCATGAATAATGGTGTAAGATAGCAAATAAGATAACGTCGGATACTATTTTTTTCAATGAGTAGGTCCCACTAATGCGAGTTCATAGTACTGATGTTGAAGAACCTGCTAGTAGGTTTCTTTTTTTTCTTTTTCTTTTCCTATTTCTTTTTGAGGAGATAATAAAGATCATTCTAAAGTAATCTTCTTCACCGATGAGCAAAAAAAAAAAAAGTAATGACTCGTTCATTTTATCGATTTGAGTTTATAATTTAAATTTTATTATAGTAAAATATTTTTAAAAATAATCATATTTAATTTTTTTATTACAATAAAAAATTCTCACATAAAATTACATATAAATTCAAATTAAAAATTTAAATAAACGAATTAAACAAGTCGAAACAAAATAATTTTTTCCACCATAAAAGTTCCCACCTTTAGATGCAAAGGTTTTCATACAACTATTTAATTTTTATAAAACTCCCATCCCCATGAGCTTTTATTTTCATGAGTGGAAGATTTTATACAACTTTCTTTGAAATATGCATCCAAATCACTTGCAGAGTAGTGATTTTTCAAGTCTTTGGTGAGTAGATAAATTGTCGTTTTCCGTGGAAACTGCCGGCTTCCTTTTGGAATATTGTCATACTCAGCCTAATTTGTTGACTACTTAGGGAGGAAATTTTATGCCCCGACGACTTTGACTTTTCGGCTAAGATATTATCTTTGCACGTCTAACCAAATCAATTGTTTGTCAACTCAAGATATTAGGAAAAATCATTTGGGTGTGAAGTTCTTCTAGATGTAGTTCTAGAAACTTGCTAGTAACCAAATTTGCAGCTGTATTAGTCATGAATATTACCCCTTATAATACTTTTTAAGTTATATACATGATTTATAATATATATTTTGAGGAAATTACATGTTTGTTATGATTTTGTACGGACTTATTATTTTTATCATATTAAATAATTGAGTGCAAATGTGTACTTTTATTTTTTTTATTAATTAAATGACAATTATTTATTTTTAAGTGAAATAACATATATAATATCTTTTATTTTTAAGTGAAGTAACATAAATAATATATTTTACCATTTTAAGTGGTATTTTTAATTTTTTCTCTTATATTTATCATACTTAAAAGTTTTTTAAGTGTAGGTCTTTTGTATCGACATAGAAATTTTTTGACCGTCGAATCTAATTAAAATTAGATTAGATTAAAAAATATACAAAATTGGCAGTTCTTGATATAGTTTTGATGGCTGAAAATAGAGCCATTTTGGTGGTTGATTTTTCATTGTATGTTAGAGAAATTTCCTTTTTTTTAAGGAGAATAATTTAAAGTTATTTAGTAGTATAGTTTCTCTTGCATATTGTGTGGAACGTAATATCAACATTTTAAGGTTGGTACAACTATTGAAGTTGGACTTGATATTGTAACATATTGTTGGACCAACTCTCTTATAGTTCTTTTGCTGAATATAAAATGTATTTATAGTTATTCTAGGTGAAAAACAAAAAATAATTCTTTACAATAACATTAACAATTGACTCATTCTTCCAATGAAAATAGAAAAATAAGAAAAGATTTCAAAAAATAACTTTTTCTTCTTTTTGTTAATTAGTTTAAAAAAAGGCATATTCTTATTTTAAAAAATGGCTTTTTTTTTTTTTTTTTTTTTTTTTTTGTTTTTTAATCTAAGGTAGTCCAAGCTGACGCAACAGACCAAATGGAGACTATAGACTTCTTTAGTCTGATTTTACTCAAAGAGTATTTTACTTAATTGCCCCATAAACTTGCATGATTTTATCAACCTGTCCTTCAAATTTTTTATTTTGGTAAGTTTTCCTCTCGATTTGTAAGATTGTTGCAATATGTGCATCATTTTGATGATGCTTGTCTTAAATTTGTGTAAAAAATGCACAGTTGATGAAAGATTCCAACATCCGAATTCAAATTTAACACAAATCTTTCAATTTCTCAACTTTTAATCCCTTAAATATAGTAAAAAATTTGAGCAAATTTAATAAAATGAGACACATTGTAACAATTTTACAAGTTTAAAAAGTTGATTATCAAAATTAAAAGTTCAGGAGTAATTTACTAAACCACAATGATTATGCTAAGATTCATCAAGAAGTAAGATTCTACTGAAACATCCATTTGAGTTTTGAAGTAGAACCCTTTTAAATCAAAACTTCTTAATACAAAGGGGCCCTTATAAATTGATTAAAAAAGTTTGACGATTACAGTAAATTTCAAATTTTCTTTTCCCACAGACTAATATGTCATATTCCCAAATAAAGAACCCCTTAGTGCCCATTTGAAAGGTCGATTCAAATCAGTTGGTTTGAATTAGATTTCAAATTTTTGAAATTTTTGGGAGAGAAAATACTGCAATATAACTGTTTAAATTCAAATTTTTTTTATGAGAGAAAACATTGTTTACACCAAACCAAGGTGGTTCCAAACACACCCTTATTCCGTAGGAAGTTTTTATGGTAGGTTTAAAAAAGATGTACTACATGGAACTCTCTGTTTTTAGCCGTCTTATCTGATCCAAACCACATCAGATTAAAAAAATATGTAGAGTCGGAAATTACTCCAAAGCGGATTTTGTTCGCTTTGCGCCACTCAACAAAAAGAAAATTCCATTTTTGCTGCATCGGTTTTGGCTTCATAAACAGTTTTTAGTACAAATCTAAGGACTAAAAGTAAAAAATCATTAATAGTTCATGTTTTATAGAACTAACAAAGAAACTCCCTAATATATGAACTTCCAATTTTGAAATCTATAACAAAAATCTTATTTTTCATATTTCGTTGACTATTACAAAAAATTGTATATAGGTATTTTTCTTTGCTTTTGTCGTACCGTATATAGTGTTAGAATTTTAGACGGGCCGCCTGCGACCACCCGAAAAGACCGATTTTTTACCCGATTCCCGACCCGACTCGGCCAAAATTTTTGGGCCGCCCGCCTGAGCCCGAGAAGGCCCGTGGACGGGCCACGGGCCTGTATTTGGCTGCCCGAGCCTGGCCAGGCAGCCCGAGCCCGCCCGAAATGCCAAAAAAAAATTTTCTATTTTTTATTTTTTATAATTATTAATTTATTTTTTGTGTTAAAATTCTATAAAAACTAAAATCAACATTCAACACACATTATTAACCCAATTTAATAAACTAATTTTGTATATTCATTTTTAAATCCGTAATTCATGATTGCCTCGTTAAAAACCTTACCAAGAAAAATCCAATTAGGATAAAAACTTGGTAAGGAAAAAAGAGTGCAATTATTTTGTGGCGAATTACAAATTTTACAAACCTACAAAGTTATACAATTACAATGTCAAAAGCAAATACATATTTACAAATTACAAATTTACAATTTAATTTGAAGCTGAATGATCGTCTTTAAAATTAAATGTTAATCTATTAAATTCATCGATCCATTATTGACTTGCCGGCGAAATTGTATCTTGTAGACGTTGATCAGCACGATCCCAATTCTTAATGCAGACCAAGGCTTCAACAATGTCCCTTTGCAATGTGTTTTGCCGTTCCTCAAGTATTTGTCATGTCGTACTGAAGGCTTGTTCGGATGAAACAGTGGAGACTGAGATAGAAAATATATCCATTGCCAATCAAGTTAGGATTGGCCAAGTTAATACTCGTGCGCTCCACCATTGAAATAATTCAAATGATTCTCTAGTACCGTCGACTATTAAGCTCTCACTAAGGTACGCCATAAGCTCTTGAAGCCGCCGTTGCCACCTATTGATGAAGATCCACTCCTAACTTCTTTTTTAGTTGTCTTCTTCTTCTTTTTCAACTTGAAAACATTCAAGAATGAATACGGATTTTCATCTTGTTGTTGTGGTTCTTGTACTCCAGAGTTTGTATTTCTAATCCTATTTTCATATTTACTATAGATCAAAAATATTTTTTCTTTTATTGTTGTAAATTGGTCTGAACAATTGATGCCTAAAAATTCACCTAAGTTTTCTAAATCACTTTCTAAACCGTCTAATTTTAATCTAGGATCAAAAATAGTACATAAACCATACAACAAAGGTAACTAAGACCAATATTTTTTAAATTTCTTTTCCATAGAATGGATAGGAACTCCTAAGATTGGGTCCGCCCTATATTCACTAAATAAATAATTGTGTTTGGCGGAGTTTGGGTGCGCCGAACTGGCTAAGCTTTTGATGACTCTTTTCGGAGTGTCTTCTTAAATGTGTGGTGCCGTGAATAGTATCACCTTGTAATTTAGATAAATAATATTTACACTGAGATGTTTAGTGTCACCTTCATTGTCAATCTCCTTAATTGTTCATGAAAATCACAACATCAATATCTTCCGATGCCGTATGACACATGTTAAAAATTTAGATTAACACATATGTAATAGAATCTGTAATAGAGTCTGCATTGAGTCAATTATAAAAAAAAGAAAAAGAATAATAAGGTCCCGTTCATTTCACCGATTTGAGTTTTAAATTTAAGTGTTGCTACAGTAAAAAGCTCTAAAAAACAGTCACATTTAACTTTTTTGCCATAGTAAAAAGTTCTCACATAAAATCACATCTCAATTCGAATTAAAAACTCAAATCAACGAATTAAACGGACCTTAAGTTGTCAAATTCAAAAATTTAAGAGGACATCCGTAAATTAAAAAAAAACCAAAAATTTAAGATGCATTGTACCAAAGTAGGTACAAAAGTGCTCCATTGGATAATTGAGATTGGGTTACATAGATCTCGTTCATTTTATCGATTTGAATTTTTAATTTTAAGTTTTTACAGTAAAAAATTCTTAGAAAATATCACATTTAACTTTTTCTGTTACAGTAAAAAACTCTAAAAAAATATTATATCTCAACTTAAATTAAAAATTTTAATCCGTAAAGCGAACGAAACTACAGTGTACCACAGGTCTCTTCCAAGAGAACGTTATGGCATGATCTCCTCGTTAAATTCCAAAGTTTTCACTTTCCAGTACATGACATGGCGAGTTCCTTCAGAAACAATTGTCATTTCCCTTGCCATTATTCGGGAATAAAACAAAAAGAAAAAAGAAAAAAGAAAAGTCATATCCCTTGCAAGTATGGCATGCCATTTATGTGGCATCAAATTCAACTTTTTGCTCTTCAACTCATGGAATTCACACTATAGTCAATTATTGTGCTTTAACAGCCCTCTTAAATACGCAAACCAATCACCTGTTTCCCCAATCTATAATATAGTCTAGCAAATACTACAAATTCAAGTCAATGGAAAAACTTTTTTTTTTGAAAAAAAAATTATAATAGAACGTGTAATTTTACTCCACCCATAGAAATTATTACTTTTGATCATTAGTTTAATTTTTAACAGTTAAATCTGTATATATTCGTATTAAAAATGTATATCGTGCGACATAAAATTATTCATATTTCAGATCAAACTGTTAAAAAATTAATCTAACAGTTCACACGTAGTTCTTATAAGTGAAGTAAATTAGTCTTCTCCACTATAAATTCAGCCTTTATTTTCTTTTTTTTCCAACCAATTCGTCTCGATTAACCTCTTATTTCCACCCTCTATTTCTCCTGGCCAACTTATTGCAGTTGGTGCAATTACTACCATCTACTACCAGAAAGGGAAAATGAAGTAAATTTTAGTATTAGAACAGAACAACAACACATCAAATATCGCACCACTAGATTAAAAAAATATCACCACAATTGGTCGTCATTGTTCATGAACGAGACTTAATTCTTAATTAATTTAGCTACATAAATTCAAGGATAAGAAAAAAAATTATGCATGGTTCTTAATTATCAAATTTTTATGAAGTTCACTATATATACATTTATTCTGATTTGATTATGTTTTTAATAATTATTCACATATGATTATGACGTGATGTCAAGGTTTTTAAATGTCCTTTCTACTCCTCTTTTTTAAATTTTGATACTTTATAACCCCATATTTGGATTGTGCCAGCTGTCTGATCAATGGATTGCGCAGTATTAATAAGGTAAAGTGGTGGAGCAAAAACCAAATTGATCACTTAAGTAAAATTGGATACGTCTTTTAAAATACGTTTGGTTCATGGATTAGAATAATAAGATTAGAATTATTTTTTATTTACGTGTATTTTTATAAGAAAAAATACTGTAACAAACTATTAATTATGATTCAAATCATGGTATGAATCCTCTAACTAAACGTCTCCTTATATTTCCATTGATGATTCTCAAGATTCTCGTACGAAGAGGTCAAGAAGGTAATGAGACTAATAATCTCTTTAATTCTTATTTTTTATAGTAATCTCTTTTATTCTTTCATAAAAGAAAGGAAAAAATGACGCTAATAAGAAAAAAAAAAGAGTCTCTCTAGTTGGACTTTGAAAAATAAATTACATGTAAATTTTTACTCTTAACCATTAATTTATATTAAAATTATTCATTTTATATATTTTTTTAATTTAATCTAATTTTAATTAAATTTAACGGTATTCTATTAATAAAGAAACTTTATAGAAAAAAGTCCTCGACAAAGAAAACCAAAAACTAAAAAGGTAAACTTAACTGGTAATTTGTAATTACAAGTCAATTCTCTGTCCCTGTACATTAGTCACAAGTCAACAGCAGCGTGCGATTCCCCACTGCTCTACAAGCGCCCCCCATAAAATACATTACCATTTACCAACTATCAATCTGTAATTTTAAATCCCAGAAACTTGAAACACCAAAAAAAAAAAAAAAAAAAAAGGGGAAATTTTTTTTTTTTTTTTTTCCCCCCTTTTTTACTCTTTTAAATCCCAGAAACTTGAAACACCAAAAAAAAAAAAAAAAAAAAATGGAGAACTTTTCTTTTATGCTTATCACCTCTCTTTTACTCTGTTCTTTCACAGAAATCTCCACTGCACTAGACGCCATTTCTCAGTCCCAGTCCATCTCCGACAACACTTCGTTGGTTTCGAAAGATGATTTCTTCGAACTGGGCTTCTTCAGCCCTGGAAACTCCAAGAACACATACTTGGGAATCTGGTACAAGAAAATCCCGGTGAAGACTGTCGTTTGGGTGGCTAACAGGATCAAACCAATCAACGACTCATCTGGGGTCTTGTCGTTTAGCGCCACAACAGGCAATTTCCAAATTCTGAGCCACCAAAACAAGACCGTCGTTTGGTCCACAAATTCCACAAGAAGAGCTCAAAATCCTGCTTTGCAGCTCTTAAACAATGGAAATCTTGTGTTGAGAGATGATTTGGATGAAAATAAAAACAATTACTTGTGGCAAAGCTTTGATTACCCTTGTGACACTTTGTTGCCGGGAATGAAGCTCGGGTGGGACTTGAAAACAGGCCTCAACCGGCGGTTATCGGCGTGGAAGAGCCCCGACGACCCGGCCCCGGGGAACTTGACGTGGGAAATGATGCTTCATGCATATCCGGAGCCGGTTATGTGGAATGGGACGAGAGAGTTTTTGAGAAGTGGCCCTTGGAATGGTATTCAATATAGTGGTAAGCCAACAAAAGCGCTTCCTCTTTTAAAATACAGTTTTATGTCTAATGAAAATGAGGTCTACTTAGAAATTGTTTTGGTGAATGAGTTTGTTATTGGGAGGATGATCTTGAACCAAACGAATTTCCATCGTCAGTCGTTGATTTGGTCGGAGAAAGACAAGAATTGGACGTTGTATGCAGCGTTTCCGCGGGACCAGTGCGATACTTATAACCTTTGTGGTGGGAATGGATATTGCAGCCTCTCCAATTCCCCGGTTTGTCGGTGCTTGGACAAGCACTTCAGGCCTAAATTACTCGGGAATTGGCGATCGGGAAACTGGTCGCATGGCTGCGAGCGGAAAAGGGCCGAGAAGTATTGCCAAAACAATGATGGATTTGCCAAGTATGAAGGGCTGAAATTGCCTGATACTACACATACTTGGGTTGATAACAACATGACTTTGAAGGAATGCAGGACCAAATGCTTGAGCAACTGTTCTTGTACCGCTTATGCCAATACCGATGTTAGAGACGGCGGTAAAGGGTGTGCAATCTGGTTTGGTGATCTTCTTGATTTCAAGCAGATTCCTGGTGGAGGGCAGGATTTGTATGTTCGAGTTTCGGCGTCAGAGCTTGGTATGATGTTACTATTTTTACTACTATTTAGTCCTTGGGATTCTGTTTTCTTTTACTTAATTCTCTGTTTCTATTTGACTATATATTTATTTATTTTTTTCTCTCTGGTTTTGAAATCATTCATGAAGGAGGTAAAGGTGGGAAGTGGAAGATAGGAGTGGTAATAGTCTCTGCCGTTGTTGTGATTCTTGCGATGCTTTTAGTTTACTACTTCTGTTGCAATAAGAGGAGAAACTTCCAAGGTAAAGTTGTTACTCTAAATTCTGATTGGCATAAGATATGAACATGCTTTTCTTCTATGTCTAGGAAGTATTTAAGCAGTTTAATTGTATCAAACAATAAGATATGATAATTCTATTATGTGACACTCTTCAAACGGATTAGTCTGTTAAAGTAGCAAATTCCGATGCCTCAAAGCGTGTAAAATGAGAGTTTTCTTCTGTTCTTGATCAGTTGCGGAAAACTTTTACCCCAAGAGTCGACTTTGTATCCATTAATCGAAATTTTGAGATAATTTAAAATTTATGGATAGTTTTGTGTGTTCGAAAGTTTTCTGTCTAATTTGTGAAAATAAAGTTTTGCAGGGAAAAAAAAAACATAATACAATAAAAAGTTGCAGAAACTCCATGTAAAGCACAAAGGCATGTAAAAAAAAAAACAAAAAGGAAAAGAAAAGAGAATAGCAGTAAAACAAGAGGAAGTATGTCATAGTAAATGAAAATGGCATACATCAAATGCTTGTTTTTATTCTAATGTCAGACTCTGTTAATTTCAAGGACCTTCTCAAGTCACTCTTAAAGTTTTTGTTGTGCCTTTTATTTTTCAGATAACAATGAGAAATTAGATAAAGGGGATGAAGACCAAGAAGATCTCGAGCTCCCATTGTTCGACCTCCCAACATTAGCTGCTGCCACTGATAACTTTTCCCTTGACAACAAGCTTGGTGAAGGCGGTTTTGGACCTGTATATAGAGTAAGTTCAGAATATGCTTGCATAAGGACCTTAAAATCATAAAGCATATATCAGCTGTGATATTTCCAAAGTGAACAGAAAATCATTCTTCGAATGTTACCTTCAGGGTAGATTAATAGATGGACGAGAAATCGCTGTGAAGAGACTTTCGAGAAGTTCTGGACAAGGACTGAAGGAGTTAAAAAATGAAGTGATCTTGATTGCTAAACTTCAGCACAGAAATCTTGTAAGGCTTCTTGGTTGCTGCATTGCAGGGGAAGAGAGGTTACTGATTTATGAATTCATGCCCAACAAAAGCCTGGACTTCTTTATTTTTGGTATGGATATCTTACACATTGTGTAATATTTCCCCCTTTTTTTTTTTGAGAATCAAAATTTTTATAATTTGAATGAAAAACTTGGTAGATGAAACACGCGGCAAGCTGTTGGATTGGTCCAAGCGCTTCAACATTATCTGCGGGATTGCTAGAGGTCTTCTTTATCTTCATCAAGATTCGAGATTAAGAATCATACACAGAGATCTTAAGGCAAGTAATGTTTTACTTGATAGTGAGATGAACCCTAAAATCTCAGATTTCGGTTTGGCTAGGAGTTGTGGTGGAGATGAGACTGAAGGAAATACAAGAAGAGTAGTTGGAACATAGTAAGTACTCTTGACATTAGTCCATATATAAATCTTCAGCTCTTTGGTATTTTAACATGATTATTTTTTTTTTTTCGATTTATGTTCATTTATAAGTTGGGATTAAGGCTTTTGTTGTTGTTGTTGTATGTTTATAGTGGTTATATGGCACCCGAATACGCTATTGAAGGCCAATTCTCAGTCAAATCAGATGTTTTTAGCTTTGGTATCCTACTGCTAGAGATAGTGAGTGGAAAGAGAAGTAAAGGCTTCTACCATATGAAGCACAACCTTAGCCTTATTGGAAATGTAAGGGGAAAAAAAGAACTAAATTTTTAAAAACTTTTCTATACTGCATAAAACAAAACAATGGCTTATATGCTAAAACATCATTTTTTTTAGGCATGGAGAATGTGGAGCGAAGGAAGGCCTTTGGAGCTGATGGACGAATGCATTGGGAACGATTCGCGCACTGTCTCTGAAGTGCTCCGCTGCATCCACATTGGCCTTCTATGCGTGCAACAGCGTCCCGAGGACAGGCCTACCATGTCATCTGTCGTTCAGATGCTAGGCAGTGAGAGCGCCTTGCCGGAGCCTGCACAACCGGGGTTTGTCACATCGGAGAAGAACCCACATAATCAGTATTTCGCTTCAAGCGCACAAGAATTGCCTTCGGTCAATGAAGTAACCATCACACTACTGCAGGCTCGATAAGGAAATTCTAACCATAAAAGTTGTATTAGTAGAATATGTACACATAATGTTGTGCTTTTTCAGTCTTAATTTTCTATATCCTGGGTATGAAATTCCCATGTGAACCTCTGAATATGTATTTTTACTTTAAGTGGTTTGATTTCCTAAGAATTGTTAACGTCTAAGTCAGTATTTTCTACTCCATTAATAATCAGATACAAGGGACTCGAATAAAAAAAAGGACAACTTTTAATGCCAATTTTGTCTTCCGAAAACCGAAAAACAAAGAAAACACAAAAACACTTTTAGCCAATTTATTACTCTCTTTAGTTTTAAGTTGGAGCAGTTTGCAACAACAGTAATGTTATGGGCCGCACTAGACTTTTAGGCCCTCTTACGACCCACTATAGTAGAAAAATGAGAAGTCTTTTTTTATTGTTTTTTAATTTCTTTTTCAAGAATTCTGTGAGGGTGTGAAAAAATAAGGCTTTGTTTTAAACCATCAATTGTATTATATTCTATCAGTTTTGTATTTGTTATTTCATTTTGATTCAATTCATCAGACTAAGTGTTCATCGTAAAAAAGTTAATTTTTTTTTTTTTTTTTCTGTTGATAAAAAAGAATTATAGGCATGCTCCGATTACATCAAGATGCAGTGCACACCACCCGCATGGCATATGCTCTCTGCCTCTCTACATCGATGTGATTAACTTGGATATAAAGATCTTACAAGAAAAATGAGCAATTTTACCGTTATCAAATAGAGATGTCAACAGGGGCCAGACTTAATGGGGCTAGTACGAGCATGCTCGACGGGTTAAAAAGTGGATACGATACGACACAGTCATTAAATGAGCTTAATTGATCCTGTTTATTAAATAGAATGGACTTGAAGCAGTTTTTAGGTATGAAGCACACTAAGGATACCACACACTAAGCGTTCAACAGGAGCACGTTAAAAGCACGATAGGGGTGTAAATAGTGAACATGAAGTATAAAATAAGTTTATTATGTATTTTTTTATAAGACTTATAATTGCATCTTGTTTCTTTACCAATATGTTATCCCAGTTAGTTTTGCTTGGTAAAGTTTTCAATGCGGCCTTTTTAATGGGAAAATTGTTTTTAATGACGTGCTTTCGTTTGTTAAAATTTTAATGTTTTCATCATGTTAAATGCTTTTTTTTTTTTTGTATTTAGTATAAATTTGCTATTTGACACAACGAATATAGGTACGAGCACGGCCCAAAAAAAAAAAAAGGATTGTGAATCAGACTTGATGCCACAATATTTAAATAGGCCAGACCGAACACCGGTAGCGGAGCAATGAACTTTTTTTAGAGAGCGTGAATCAAACTAAAATTATAATGCAATGATATTTTACCTTTCTTTATCTTCCTATTTGAACTAAGCTTCTAATAAAATTAAACCTTTAATGTTTAAAGTTTAAATTTAAAATTTTTTTGAACTCAAATGGTAGTATAGTTGATTTGTTGTTTTTTTGAGATTTTAAGTTTGAATAATAATATATTTAAAAGTTAAAGTTTATAGTGCAATTGAAATTTTTTAAGAAAAGTTTGATAGAAGTAACAATTGAAAAATTTGACGAGGACAAACAGGGGAAAATGTTAAAACTTTTTAACATTTAGATTTAGGCTAAGCTATAAAAGGAGCTTGTGCGTCCAGAGGGACAGTTGCCCTCCCTGTGCCTAAGGCAGCTACGTCCTTACTTAATATAACATGATAAATAAATGAGCCGGTTTAGATATAAAATAAGATATGTATGAGTCTAATTTAAACAGAATGGGTCAGATTAAACCGGCACAATTACCATCGTTATTATCATTATCAAAATGAAAATTACAAAATATACTATTAAACGCGTATAAATTTAAATTTTTATTATTTATTATTTATTAATATATTATAATTATTTAATTAAAAAATTATTAATTAAAAATAAAAAATAAAAATATTAATTTATATATTTTTAAGAGGTATTTTTCTCATTTTTTAGTGGTGAAATGAGAAAAATGAGACTTTATCGTCAGGTCATGAATTAAAGGTCTGATTCGAGTTTTTAATTTAAATTGAGATGTGATTTTATGTAAAAAATTTTTACTGTAATAAAAAAATAAATGTGAATATTTATGAGAATTTTTTACTATAATAAAATTTAAATTTTAAACACGAACGGACCTAAATTTAGAGCTACACCAAAAAAAAACAAAAAACAAAAAACAAAAAAAAAGCCAGTAGTTCTAGATACTAATGAGCACAACTCCGTAAAAAAGTCAAGCAATTAGGTTTTAATATCATTAAAGTAATCCGAGTTCTGACCCACACGTCAACAATGGTCCCCACTTCCCAAGTCTCTCCAACTTTTACCCATCAACAACAAAAACCTTCCATTTTCCACCCACAGAACAAAATACTCTCTGACTTGTAACTTAGGCTGAAGTAAGAATGGGCGAAAAAGATGTACAATAGTGCTAGAGAAACAATGGACCTTCTTTCTTTTGCTTTTTCAATTGGGTTTTGTCATTTCTTTTGCTTCATAGAATTCTCAGCCGCCATTGACGCCATAACCCAAAACCAGTCCATAACCAAAGCCACAAGCTTGGTCTCCAAACATGGAAGCTTCGAACTTGGTTTCTTTACTCCAAACGAAAGTTCCAAGGACCTTTTCTTGGGAATCTGGCACAAGACCAAAATCCCGCTTAGAACTGTCGTTTGGGTGGCCAATCAGCACAACCCCATCAAGAATTCATCTGGGGTTTTGAAGATAAACGACACAGGTAATGCCATCCTTCTTGGTCAGAACAACTCTGTCGTTTGGTCAACAAACTCGTCGCTAAAACAAGTTCAAAACCCAGTTTTGCAGCTTTTGGATTCTGGGAATTTGGTCCTAAAAGATGGAAATAATTATTTGTGGCAAAGTTTTGAAGATCAAATGAAAAGTGTTGTAATTTCAGACTCAACAGACCAATGTGGTGATTCTGGTTACTGTGGCCCAAATGGAATGTGTGACATTAGTAAGTCTCCAGTTTGTAGCTGCCCAAAAGGGTTTAAGCCAAAGTCAGCAGCTACGTTGAAAACCTTTGATTATAGAGAGGGTTGTGTAAGGAATGAAGAATTGGAATGTGGGAAAACTGATTATGGGTTTACTGAATATGGTGGGGTGAAATTGCCAGATGGCAAAAATTCTTGGGCTGATCAGAAAATGAGTCCCAAGGAGTGTGAAGAAAAGTGCTTGAAAAACTGTTCATGTATGGCTTATGCAAGCTCAGATGCTAATGGAGGTGTTGGTTGTACTATTTGGTTGAGTGACCTTGTTGGTATTAGAGATGGTGGCCAAAATCTGTTTGTTAAAATGCCATCTTCAGAGATAGGTATGAAAACGTCTTAAATCATTTTTTTGCTTTTTCATCTTTTTATAAAACAAATGTGTGGATTTTGCTGCTCCGAAATTTATTTTTGTTGGGTCTTTCATCTTATGTTAGTCAATGATTCCATGTCAAAAATTTCATTATTTCTCCTGTTTTTCTTCTTTGCTTAAATAAAAGTTTTGATCTTCCTAAAAAAGAAGCACCTTTCAATATCATGTTGTGTTGTGCTTGACGATGAATTTATTTGACTTCCACTGAAGATATGGTTATTTCCCATGTTTTAACCATTTCTTTTTCTCATATTTTTTCCTGTGGAATTGAACTTTGAAGATGAGAAACATGGGAACAAAGTGAAGATAGTGGCGATCACCATAGCTAGTTCTGTTTTCATCATTATTGGGGTATTGTTAGCAGTTTACTACATACGAAGAAACAGGAAAACCATCAAAGGTAATATCTCTTATCTGAATATTTTTCTCCTTATCCACTACAATTGACCATGATACGTATAAAATTTATAAATCCACAAAATGAATGTTTTTCTTATTTTGTTGAACTTGTGAATGGTTTTTCTTCTCTTAAGCCTTGCATCAAGCATTCTAGCTTCGTTTTCGTTGGCATATTGTTTTCTCGGTTTAAAATGATGTACTTCTAGTGTTTGTTCTGTGACTTTCATAGTTTAAAATCTGGATATAGTAGCTTGAATTATTGGATATGTAATGTAATGAATATATTGGTCAAGTCTTTCCAAGTGTTTGAAATTTCTTAATTTTAACCCATAAAGTTGAAAAACATGGGGAGTCTATTAGAAAAGCATCTTATTTCTGATCCAAGTTCAACGAGAAATCAAAGCGCAGTTAATATGTCTCTAAGACTAATACATACATATCTTTCTATGCCTTCATTATTTTACATTAAGAGTAGTGATGTGTGTAAAAGCTTAAGAAAAAGAAGTTTCTTATTTGTCTCAATTTCGTCTCCTCATTGGAGAACATAGAGAACAATGGAAATGAAGAAGCCCAAAATGAAGATCTGGACCTCCCTTTGTTCAACCTACCCACAATCACTACTGCCACAGATAATTTTTCATTTAACAACAAGCTCGGTCAAGGTGGATTTGGGGCTGTGTACAGGGTAATTTTCAGTACAAGAAGAATGAAAAAGAAGAGCTTTCAACCACAGCAATCTTTTCTTATAAAAGTAATTTTCAGGGTACACTAGAAGATGGACAAGAAATAGCTGTGAAGAGGCTTTCGCAGAGCTCTGGACAAGGAGCGAACGAGTTCAAGAATGAAGTAATACTGATTGCGAAACTTCAACACCGAAATCTTGTAAGGCTTCTTGGTTGTTGCATTCATGGAGAAGAGAGACTGCTCATCTATGAATACATGGCCAACAAAAGTTTGGACTATTATATTTTTGGTTTGGCTCTTCTATAAACCTTATTTATGTTGTTTGAAATTTCCTATATTACATGGCTTTGAAATAACTTGAATGATAAACTTATCAGATGAAACAAGAGGTAAAGTCTTAGATTGGCCTAAGCGCTTCAACATTGTCCTCGGGATTGTGAGGGGGCTCATCTACCTTCATCAAGATTCTAGATTGAGGATCATACATAGAGATCTCAAGGCAAGTAATGTTTTACTTGATGGTGAGATGATCCCGAAAATTTCAGACTTTGGCATGGCTCGAACTTTTGGAGGAGATCAAACAGAAGGACTTACAAACAGAGTAGTTGGGACCTTGTACGTATGCATAATTACAATTTGTATGGTTCTTTTGTTTTATCCTAAAACAATGATTTACCATGTATGCTGAATCAGTGATTTAGCAAGTACATCAAGTAAAATCGTCAAGAGTTTTATGAAAAGTAAGTTGATTTAAGGACGTAATTCTGAAAAGGGATCTAAATTTAATGTCCTTTATGCACGCATTCATGTCGTTTTTATTTTGCTTATCTATTTATTGAGTTATTATTATTGTTTTCTTTTTTTTTTTTTTGTGATGCTCTACCAGTGGCTACATGGCACCAGAGTATGCTATTGATGGTCAATTCTCAGTAAAATCCGATGTCTTTAGTTTTGGCATCTTAATGTTAGAGATAGTAAGTGGAAAGAGAAATAGAGGGTTCTATAATCCTAGTGATGACGACATGAACCTCATCGGATATGTAAGTATCAATCAAGGATTGGCCTTTTCTTCAACAAAATTTTACCCCGGACTGAATAATTTTGTTCGAATACTTTTTAGGCGTGGGAGTTATGGAAAGAAGGAAGGCCTTTAGGACTACTTGATGAATGCCTCACTGGGGACACATGTACTCTATCAGAAGCGCAGCGTTGCATCCATGTCGGTCTCTTGTGCGTTCAACAGCTTCCGGAAGACAGGCCGAGCATATCGTACGTGCTGTTGATGCTCGGTGATGATAGGACTCTGCCTCAGCCTAAAGAACCAAGCTTCTTTTTGGGAAAAAAAAGTTCATCCGAAGCAGAAACTTCTTCATCAACAAGGCAAGGGACGTCTTCAACCAATGACTATACCATAAGCCTTTTGTATGCTCGATAGGATTTATTTTCTCACTCGCATTAAACCAATCTTGTACATGAACATAGTTTTGACCTTGAGTTCTTATGTCCATACAAATGATGTCAATCTTAGTTCTTATGTGAAGTTCATAAAAGGTAGTAGGATAAAAGTGGGAGATACCTCCGCCTATATGAAGTTTCCTCCGCCTATATTTTGTTTTCTTTCTATATAACTCAGTTCATTTATGTGCATATATAGATACACAAGAGAAATATATAGAGATGTAAAATCGTTGTTGGATGGCATTGTGACAGGTCCTATACAGTTTTGTAGCGGTTTTTTAGACCCTGTGCCCCCTTATTTCTACCCTCTTTATGTTTTTTAGATATATCATGCCACGTCAACTAAAATGGCATGTCAATTAGAGTATAATGCTACATACATTAAAATGAAAAAACCCTTAGAAACACCGTTGGTGTTGAGAGTGCACCTCACTTGTCGGCTCCACATTGTGGTGCCTGATCTCTATTACATTGTGGTGTCTATATCACCAGTACCTCATAACATTGTTAATTGAAATGCTGCTGATATAATATTATTAGAAGGACACGAAGCTAAAAACATCAATGAGAGCATGCGACTCAAATCCCATTTATTTCAACTTTACAATCTCATTTGTCAGCGGGAGATAACTCCGCCTATATAAAGTATCCTTTTCCATTAGTTCAAGCCAAAATGCAGTCCACAAATTTAGATGTCCTCTGGTGTTGTTTTAGAAGTCAACAAAAATTAAAGTCATTTATCTTTTTGTTTTGTTCTTTGGTTATATTTCAATTTAGAAATGCAGGAATAGATGTGCTAGAGAGGTGGTTGTTTTATGAGAAAACTACTCTTTTATAATAGTCAGCTTCTATCTAACCTTGTGGACCAAGTATAATTGAGCCATGTGACACCTATCATAAATGTAGCCGTATTCTTCGGAAGCTTCTTGGCTTGCTCCCTCTAGGCAAGGGCAGAAAATTCTTTTATATGCAAATAAAAGTTATGTAAATTTATTTTTAGCATGGAAAAAGAAAAAAAAAAAAAAAACATCACAATGTCTAGAACTTGTCCATAGAACTAAAACCAATAAGTAACTATCAATGGATTGGCGTAGAAGTAATGATGCATTTTTATTTTTTTATTTTTTCACCTAGGATAGTGCTTAGAGTTTGATATTCCACAGCTCCGCTTAAGACCCTGCCCAACCAATATGTTTTGTGGTGTTGGAATACGATATCCATATCTTCAACAATAATGTCATTCAAATTATGCTAAGACCTTGATGGCATCAAAGCTGTCACGGTATCCATCATCCAGCATCCGGTAAACTATGCTCAAGAGAATTCAAACCACCCAAAAATAGTTTGTTAATTGTTACAAATACAAATTTCCTCATGGTTTGTATTAGTAAATCTCCGTTCATTTCACCGATTTGTATTTAGAATTTGAGTTTTGCTACAGTAAAATGCTCTTAAAAATAATCACATCTAACTTTTTTGTTACAGTAAAAAGCTCTCACATAAAGTCATATCTCAACTCAAATTAAAAACTCGAATAAGCGAACTAAACGGGCCTTAATAACTATGACAAAAGATTAAGGGATATTTACCTTTGTATACCTTATGTTTTAAGTTTATTCAAAATTTATACCTTCAGTTTTTTTATCTCATCAAGTGTATACCTTTAAATTAGATTTAATATACAAATCTATGCCTTATCTCGGTCAATAATTGATTTTGACATTTAAAATGACTAAACTATCCTTATGAAAAGTAAAAAAAAAAAACACTAAAACTTTCCAATATTAGGATAGTTAAGAATTAATAACAAAAAAAAATTGTAAGTTTAAATTTTTTTTTTAGGTTTTTTCCTTTTTCTATGTTTTTATTCAAGAGTATTTTATGTATTTTTAAGGTTGAAATCGAGAATTGATTGTGAAAAGATATAAATTTTAGTATTAAATCTAATTTGAAAGCATACATTTGATTAGATAAAAAAATTAAAAATATAGATTATAAATAAACTCAAAACACATGGTATAAAAATATAAATATCCCAAATATTAATCAAGATTGACTTATTAGAAGTGAGAATTACAAGCCTAACATCATTAAACAACATAAAAAATGAAAAAATTATAGAATTTATATGTGTTTGAATTTTTACTTATCATTCTTGATTAATAACATTTTAAGAGATATTTGTCTCTTTTTCTAAAAAATCATTCTATACCAAGCTTCCATACAAAATAGAAGGACAATTCTTCTTTTTTGCATTTGGGTCTGATTAAAGGGCAAGGATCTGGATCGGTTACTTTGATCATTGTAGTGGGTCCCGAAGCAAGATTTTCATTCACTTACTTTGGCAAGGGAAATTGTAACGTACACGCCATTTTGTAAAGCCATTTGTAGTAAATAGCATATTTACTAACAGTGAAAATAAATAACATAATTTAAAATTTAAATACATAGTATTCCAATTTTACTCTTATATATTTTTATCTAGTAAATGTTACATTTAATCAGTAAATCTTTCATTTACTAAACATTAACTTCTTAAAAATTATATTTTGATCCTTTAAGTTTTTTAAATTTATTTTTGGCCCCATAATTTTAAAAATATTACATTTTGACCATTTTTTTTTTTTTGTGCATAAACACACCTGGTAACAAATTTACTTGGTAAATGTATCATTTACCAACTAACAAGTATTCCAATTTTACGCTTATTTTTATTTGGTAAATGTTTTATTTACTAGACAAACCCAATTTTTGTATTTTAGTAAATAATAAAATTACCATTTAAATCATCAATTTACCAAAAATTAACATACGGTTTACAACATTAAAGTCTATGTTTGGCTATCAAACCCTTGAATTTTCAAAAAATTACATTTTGACCTAAATTTAATTTTTTTTTGGCATATCCTCCCTTGATAAATGAAGGATTACTACGTAAATCTATCATATACAGATGAATTTACTCGATAAATGCATCATTTACCAACCAATAGGTATTCTAAATTTACGCTTATTTTTATATGGTAAATGTTCTATTTACCTTATAAATCTTTCATTTACCAGACAAACCTAATCCATCATTTACCACGTAAATCCTTCATTTACCTAATTAAACATAATTTATTTGTTGATAAATGAAGCATTTACAAAGTAAATTTTACATTTACCAACAAAGAGAGCCAGTGGTGGAGTCAAGAATTTTTTTCAGTGGGGGTGTGACTGAACTAAAATTTTAAGCTAAAATTATAATGTAATAATTTTTAACCTTAATTCATCTATTTTATTATTTTTGTTTTAAATGAATTAAGATTGTAGTAAGTTAAACTTTTTTTAGAATTAATAGAGTTAAATTTAGTATTCAAAGTTTAAAAACTTGTAAATTTACATTGTAAAAGGTCTAATTGAAATTTTCTTTAAAAAATTACAGAGAAATTGTTGGTAATTGTTTTCTTAAAGCATGAGATTTAATCAGATATTTATTATTTATTTAATAAAAAAAAATTTTCATTATTTATGTTCATGTATTATTGAATACTTTATGAATATCATTAAAAATTCCGTGATTATTTATGTAACCTTAAATATTGTATGTAAAAGTTATGTACGAGAAGATAATATTTCAAAATAATAACTCAAATATGCTCATAATGAATTTAATTAAAGTTTCAGAATCTTTGAGAGGCTTACCCTAGAAGAACAAATGGCTCTAGACTCTATCGATGATGAAAACTCATTCTTTACTTGAAGGATTCGATTGAAATAAGATTCTTACCTAGGAAATAAGAAAAATTTAGATTAATAGACATCCATGGAGAGAAATTATTTAAATTAGGTCTTTTAGAGAGGAACTTACCAAAACGGATGCAAGAACTCCTATTTTCGGATTAATAGGAACTTACCAAAACGGATGCAAGAACTCCTATTTTCGGATTAATTGTGAACCTAACTTGAGAGAGAGAGAGAGAGAGAGAGAGAGAGAGAGAGAGAGAGAGAGAGAGAGAGAGAGAAGAGGGGAAAGAGAGAGTGTCACAGACACGTGCGAGAGAGAGAGAGAGAGAGAGAGAGAGAGAGGAAGATGGAGAGAGAGAGAGAGAGAGAGAGAGAGAGAGAGTAAAGAGGAGAAGGAGAATGTCTCATAGACTTGAGAGTACTGATAATTCCCTTTTTTCTCTTTTTTTTTAATTAAATTGAGAGAGAGAGAGAGAGAGGAGAAGGAGAATGTCTCATAGACTTGAGAGTACCGATAATTCCCTTTTTTCTCTTTTTTTTTTTAATTAAATTGAGAGAGAGAGAAAGAGAGAGAGAGAGAGAGAGAGAGAGTAAAGAGGAGAAGGAGAATGTCTCATAGACTTGAGAGTACCAATAATTCCCATTTTTCTCTTTTTTTTTTAATTAAATTTTAGAGTAGCTAATTTTCTAGTGTGGTGCTGGGTGGTGACTAGAAATCACCCAATCAAAAACTTTCTCAAAACCCATTAGCTTTCAAAAAGCGGCCCAACTATTTCTAAAATTCATATTTTGGGTTACCTTACTTTTCAAAAGTAATATTTTTGACATTGAACTTGGCAAAAATCGCAAGATTGGCCTCGTAATAGAATTTTTTTGAAAATTTTCTTATTGACTAATTTTGACGCTTCGATCAATATTACGACGTTAAAACTTCTATTTAGAATTTAATTTTATGAGTTTTGCTCTAATTTTAACTATCACGGGAACATGTACGCGAATGACACGTTTAATTGATCGTGTGTGAATCATGGAGATTAAATCTCATTAGAGTTATCATAAAAATCATATACCACACAAAAACCATTGAATTACCAAAATCTAATTAGCAAAATTAATGAGTGAGGGTAGAGGGCCTTACATGGGGGGTGCCCAACACACGTACTGAAAGGTAAAACTGGGAAGTTAGAACCACTCTCGAAAGTATGTATATTCATGGGATACCCAGAAAGGACAAAAAAAAAAACCTTTTTGGAGTATGACTATATGATAGATTTCAAGCCCAAAAGTAAAGTTGTGTTACAAGAGTTACTTTCTGATAAGATCGGACCACAACTGACAAGTGTTGTCAAAAGACATAGAGAAAAGACGACAGTTCATGATCAGACTCCGGTGTAGCCACGCCGCAATAGGAGGAAAATAAGATTACCTGATTACTACACAAGGCAATGGAAAACTCTGACATGGAAAAATGGCAAGAGGCCATGAAACTAGAGATGGA